ATTGGTAAATACATGTTAATAAAAGGAATTTCTTTAATTAAAAAATTAAAAATATTATATTAATATATTATAATTAATATGTATATTTTATACAAATAAAACTTTTAATTTAACTATTAATTTTTAAAAATATTAATAAAAATATAAGTTTTTAAATAAATTTCTAATAAAATTTTAAAAGACAATCTACATTACTCTAAACTCTATATCTATAACATAATATGATATTAAATAAATATATATATATAAATTCCTTTGTGTTGCAGTCGTGGCTGAATTGTTGGGCCTCCTAAAGGGATAGAATTCTTCTGCTTTTCTCATTCGTGGTACGAAGCGAATGAGGAAGCTCATAATTTAGCTTGTTCTTCGCTTATTATGGAGGGTGACAGGCTTTTGAATTTTGATGGTCCGTGTTCCCTACTCATGTTTCTCTGTGAATTTTCTCAAAATTTGAATGAAATTAGTGTTTTCATTAAAAGAATAAATATATATTAATTCATATGTCATCTTTGAATAAAATAATTAATTATAAAATATCATATTATATTGTACAAATTGTTATGATATCATATTGCGCAAATTATTATCACAAAAAGATTATTTGGGTATCATTTTCAATGATTATTATTTTATGTCATTTTTAGCTGAATATCAAACAACATATCTAAAAATATTCTAGCACCGCTCACCCACCCTTAGCTGCAATTCAGAGAGTGGACGCTTCTAATTAAGGCTATAACTATGGTTAAAAACCTTATACGTATTCCTTCTTTCCCAATTTCATTGTTTAAAAAAAATAGAAAAACATTTTGGCACCATGACATGAATTGCTTTAATTGTTAATTAGTCTTTAAATACTATAATTAGTTGCAAACCAATCTATAATTAGTCTTTAGATACTCATTTTTAGCTGCATTCTTTATTTTTCTTTATTTTTGTTGACTTGCATTCTATCTCCCTTCATAGTGATCTCCTTGATTCTTACCTTACACTTACATCTTTGAATTTCTTCAATCTCTGCATCTTGATTGGCTTGACAGCTGCACTTGATTGTATCTTCAATATATCATAGCCATTAACAATTCCAAGAGAGTTCAATAAAAGTATGCTAATACAAATATTACATATTTTCATTACATACATCAACAAAAGTTCAAGCTAATATATAAAACAGAATGGAAATATTTCTTGGTTTCTATATGGCAGATTAGGGCTACAAATTCCAAGGATCTAGTGCAGCAGAGCCTTGTTGATGATGGGCCGAGCCTTACACAAGCCCACTATAGGTCTAGCTTTGGGCATGGTGAGTCCAATCCCTTCCAACACATCTATTTCTTCATCTTTTAGTTTTTTCCACTCAAAACATTGAAGCAATGAACCCAAGGTCAAACCCACTATCCGAAGACCTAGACCTGCCCCAGGACAAGCCCTCCTTCCTAACCCAAACGGCATCATCTTATAACCCTCTCCTTGATCTCCATTTTCAAACCTATTAGGCTTAAAACTCAATGGGTCATCCCAAAGGTTCTTATCCCTATGAATGGCCATGTATTGACCAATACCATGGTTTCACTTGCACGTTGTACTCAGCGGTGGTGCAATCACTAGAAGTGAGGTGCGGCACTAGAAGTGGTGCTGGAGGGAACAACCTTAGAGTCCCTAATACGATGTTTTGAAGGTAAAGCAATTTAGAAAGATCTGTTTTATCAATCAGGCATTATTGGCCAACTTGAGTATCTACTTCATCTTTAATATTCTTCAACACATCAGGTTGGTTCAGTAAATTCGACATTGCCCATTCTATTGTCTCTACTGATGTCTCGGTTCCTGCCAGTACCATCACCTACACGCAACACCTTTTGAATTCAATATTTAAGTTATGAGTCTTTAAATAAACTATATTAATTTTACCAAAGACAAAAAAACCATTTTAATTAATTAATTCTACATCAACAAATAAGGGCCAAGTATCCTAAGAATATCTCCTAAATGACTGTATCCTCACAAGATATGTGTTCCGCTCAAAGTAATCAATATCGTATCGGTATGCGTATCGATTTTGTTATTGGAACGGTATGTACCAGATACCACAGTTTTTCGTGTATCGTTTCGAATTTATCACTATAAATATATATATTTATAAATTAAATATCAAATTTTAAAATAAGA